GGGTGAATTTTTTTTTTTTCTCTGTATGAGTACGAATCCCTTGTCGCCAGATTTGTTATATGGCAAATGAATTTTTTTTTTTCCTCTGTATGAGTTTGAATCCTCGTCGTCAGATTTGTTGTGGAGTATGAATTTTTTATTTTTTTTCTCTTCCACAGTATGAATCCGAATACTCGTGGCCAAATTTGTTATAGAGTGATTTCACAGTAGAGGCTTGTATTTGTACTGTCGGTCCTAAAATAGGTTCGACATACAAAACGTTAGGAACTTGATATAATAGGTAATGACACAGAGAAATCTAGTTGTGGTCACTGATAGTTTAGTATTCGACTAACTGTCGTCCGGCATCAACTGACTGACCAACCCACTGAGCGACGGATCAGTGTTACTACTCCTACTTATTATAGGTGGGAAAGTCTATTAACTATAGAATAGGTGTGTTCCACTATAACACATATGTAATACATAATTGGGTGATTATATCTTTTTTGATTCATAACTGACTAGGCAGAAAATTTTCTCACAGTAGATTGCCATTATTTTCTGTGACAGACTGGTGGCTGATGAAAGCTACATAACCCAGTCCGTCCTGCTATCCAACCCATAACTGGTGGGAGTAGAGATGGATTTGTAACTTTCCCAAGAGTATTTGCATGTAACTGATTGTAATGAACCCAACTGGAAACCAAATTCAGCTCTCTGATTTCTCTTTCTGAGCAATTAAGCATTACATCATGTCACACATCCTCTTTACAATATATGTCTTCTTTAATAACGGACCACAAGTTTGCTGTTGAATTAATATCTGAAGTGAATGGGAGCTATTATGTTAATTTGGTATCTGAATTTTTTTATGTTGTAGAATGTTAAGGATCATTGTCTTATCTATAAATACACTCTTTAGTTTAAAGTTCCTTAGTTATAAAAAAAAAAATCCTATCTAAGAACTTACAATAATTCTTTGCGTTTATTTGGAACCATCATTAAATTTGAAGAGACTTATAATTCCACTATTTATAATACTAGCTCAAAGCAGTAGTCCACCTTATTAGTGTTGTTTTCGGGACTAGATTAACCATGAAGTAAAATAAGCATGTGCTTAGGGCATGAAGGGAAGTGGGTATCACAGAAATTGTAATGATATGATGTTGTTGTACACATCTAAAGAAATAAGTCAAACATGATTAACAATTGAATGAACTGGGTGCCATTATGAAGATGGGACAACTGACTTGCAGTAAATCTTTATTGACATTCTGATTGGTTAATAAGGGAATGAGCTAAGGGAGATAATGAGGATTGTATTTACTCAATACAACACATCTCCTCTCTTGGATAAGTTAGTATTACTAATTAACTAAATGGAATTTCATTTTATAAACAGAGGTAGACTACTTTCATGCTCATTTGGCATTATTGAAGCCATATTTTTATGCAATTCTGTAACACACTGGTTTGTTGATGACAGGACCACTTCTGGTCACAGTTCTTTTAGAATCTGGTTGTGGCTCATTTGACAGTGGCTGCACAGCTGTGATTGTTTCTTTCTTGGTTGGTGTTGTTCTGGGTTGGAACTGATGGTTAGCCTCTCTCGGTGGTCGTATGTGCCTTCGGTTCATTCTATATTTATTTCCAGCTAGCATTTCCATGATGCACATTCTTGGTTGATAGCCTTTATTTATTTGCACTACTTATTGAGACTCCATGCTAGTATACTTAACTTGCAGGTATATGGGGGCCCCAAAATTTTTTAAGTGCTTAGGGCCCCTATGGGTTTTAATCCGGCCCTGATTGTTTTCTATGCAATTCTCTCAGTTTGGTTCACCTTGATCATTTTTTTTCCTCTACATTATCCCGCCTCTGTCACCAGTGAAGATGCAGTGAACAGCCTTAATAAAGAAGCAGAGCAACACTGAACATGGTTTATTGGCAAGCCAAGAAATTATAAAGAGTCTTTTCTTTTTGGTCCAATGAATTTGAACTCTCTTTTTTGAGCTGCAGTTTCTTCTGGCCTTAGAATGACAATCTCTTCAATTCTCTTCTACCTTTTCATATTCTTTGAAGACAAAGCTCCTACTAGGTAGGAACATATCTGAAATTGCAAATATTTCTTTCATTTCTTTCCTTCTTCAAAAGCCAAACATTTAATACTAGGTATTGTTTCCTAAGTTGTGTTGACTATGTCTATAAAAGATCTGACCTATCACCCAGCCATCAAATTCATCTAATGTAGTTTTATTTTCATCACTGAAAGTTAATGTGGCAGATTTCATCTACTACTTCAACTGAGTTGCATGTTTCTCTTTGTGATGTTTATTTAAATATTATATTTTGCTTTCATGCTTTTAGTCAGTGTTCTTCATATTTGGCAACTTTTTTTTCTCTCTGTTTCCATTCAACTTCTTCAAATAATTTTCTTTCTGGTTAATCTACATTCCTTGCTTATTACAGTTTCCATTTTTCTCCAATTTCTTTTTGTGACATTCTTAAAGCCAGTTTTTTTTTATTGTTCTTATCTTGCCAATGTTTTTGCTCTCCTCTTTGATTGTTATTTGACTTCTCTTTAACTTTTTTGCCAAGTTCCAACGTTGTGTTCCCATCATTCAATAACTATGCAATATCTTGTTTGTCTTTTGAGCTTAAGTCTTTCTGACAACCCATGGCAATATTTATATACAAAGAAACGTCAGTAACTTTTTTTTTAAGCATTTCACCCCAAGCATTGCGAGAGTGTCACTAGCACGCAAGGGGTTACAGAGAGTGGGAGTAAGAGTAAAGAGGTGTGAGAGAGGAAAGGATGAAGAGAAGGACGGGGAATAGATAAAGGCATCTGGATGTCAATTGACATTGCATTTGAATATTTGGAGATTATACCTATCAGGGAAGCAAGTAAGAGGAAGGGAGTTCCACAGACGGGAAGTGCGAGACATGACGCTATTGGAGTAGAAGAGATGGCTACATTTAACCGTTTCGACAGTGAAAGGGTGGGACTGAGATGCCAACCTAGTAGCACATTTAAATTAATGCAGTTTGGGAACCAGTGAAAGTAGCTCGTTGGAGCAGTTACCATGAAAGTATTTGTAGAAAAGACAAAGGGAAGCAAAGGTACATCTGTGAGAGAACGACTGTAAGCGAGATGCCAGATCAAGCCCAATCTCATTGCATATCTGTCTCTGGATTTTGTCGAGGACCTTAAGATGAACAGTGGGGGCTCCAGACCATATATTGCAGCAGTATTCCATGCAAGGGTGAATGGTTGATTTATAGATTTGAAGGATAGACTCAGGCAAGAAAAACTTTCTGGCATGACACAGTAACTATACTATTAAATATATGTATTTACATATATATGTATTATTAAATATATGTATTTACATATATATGTATTGTTAAATATATGTATTTACAATATGATGAACAATTCTTGGGTTATATAGTAAAATCTCACACAACCAAATCAGTTATTGTAAATATTTCTTATAAAAACATAATCTGAATTCATTTGGTATATTTATCATTTAAATGAAAGTAAATACTGATAATGTTTGCAGGTGTAGGCTTTAAGAAAGCTTTATTCAACTGAAAATACAAGGTTCGTGTATAGTGTCCTTTTATAGTCCCAGTAAACAGAAACAGCTCTCTCAAAGAGGAGAGTAACAAAACATGGGGAAACCACTCTTGATTATTCATAGCAATGTTATCAATATTGGTTGGTTCCTTCAAATTTTATTGTAAAAATATTCTTCATTAAAATTCTTGTTGAGAAATCAGTTTTCATGTACTTCTTCACCCAACTGACATGTTTCTTTTTGTAATGCTTATTTAAAAGTGATTGTTTAATTGCTTCCATGTTTTTAGCCAATGTTCTTAATATTCTACAATCTTTTTTATTTACATTTGTAAACAAATTTCTTCAAACATTTTTTCTTGCTTATTATTATTTCCATCTTTCTTGAATCTCTTTTTCTGATGTTTTTACTTGTTCTCGTTTAGCCAATGTTTTCATTTTTTATTTTTGATGATTCTGTGATCTTCATTGAATGTTTGGAAAATGTCCTTTTGCTCCTTCAATAACTTTAAGAAAACTTCTTTACCCTTTGGAGCTTAAATCTTTCTAAAAATTCATAGCAATTTTTATAAATCTGAAATTAAACAAATAGATTTGTCTGTTGTCTGCTTCATACCCCTCCCCACTCTTTTAAACACGAGTAGAGATTTATCCCTTATTTTCTGTTTAGGATCGAGTTTCCAGTTCCTTCAAAAGTCTTTTCATTCTTTTTCACTTCCAGTAGCCCTTTGTGTCTTAGCAACATTATCAGCTTGCTGAGAGTGAATTGATTAAAAAAAATATAAACAAAACTATACTAATTATATATCTGAAATTAAACAAATAAATAACAATAACTATATTATTACAAATATTTATTTACATCATGTTGAATAGCCCTCTAGTGAAATTATAAAATCGCACACCACTAAATAAGTCCTATATGACAATAGCCTAGTGGTTAAAGTATTGGTTTGGGAATTTGGTGTTATAGTAAGTGAGTTCAATCCATGGGCCTGTGAGTGTGTATTTAGACACAGTGGAAACACAGTTTAGTCTTGATGGGACAACCAATCCAAGAAAAAGAAAATTTTGATTTCAAAACCATTGAGAAGACAATAGGAAACTCCTCCATTGATTTTCCCCAGAATAGTCATGACAATCTGATTGATTTGTTTTTTTTTTACTGATTATCAACCTATTGCAGGTTATTTCAAACCAGAAAATATTTTTAGGTTGTAAGAATTTATTTTTTTTAGATAATAATGGTTTAGTGACACAAGTCTTACTAATTAACCCATTGTTGGGGGGAATGTAGATTAATACCTTTCTCAAGGTTATTTGTCTATAAGGGAATATAACTAATGCAATTGGAATTGGAACATGGCTCTCTAGTTAACAATTCCAAACCATTATCCATTACACCACCCATATGTCCAAGTTTAGAGTATTTGGTATTCGCAAGTGGTCACCCATCTAGGTACTGACCAGGCTCAACATTGTTTAACTTCAATGATTGTATGGGAACTGATGTTTCAACGTGATGTGGTTGTAAGCCATGACAATCTAAATTTCTAGGTATTAAAGAAAAAAATGTTATGATTACCAATATACTGAAAGAGCATGGTATTAAAAAATAACAATATTGTTTTCTTTTAAGAGAGGGAAGGTATTAATAAGACAAAATGCATGGTTGTCAGCAAGAAAGACAGCTCAAGTTACAAGGTACATATCTACCTTATTTACATTATTCGGACTATTGTCCTCATCTTTATCGCCATATTTATTACAACATTTCAGCTGTTGTACGCTCTGGCTATCCTCAGGTGGTTGGAATGTCGAATTGAACCCCTTATTTCACTCACTAGGGTAGACTGTTCTAGTTCCATGTGCCATGTGTTAATGGATGTCAGTTATCAGTTATCTCCTGTTAATTTCCCTCTGAAAGTTCTCCACTGCCTTAACCGGGTATTAAACTCACACTCTTTGGTTCCTGTCACTGGATCTAACCAATGCCTTTATCTACTGTACCATGTGTCCTTGAGTTCAATACCTGGTTAAGGCACTGGAGAACTTGCAGAGGGGAATTAACAGGAAATAACTGATAACTGACATCCATTAAACATGGCATGTGGAACTAGAACAGTCTACCCCATTGAGCGAAATAAAAGGTTCAGTTCGACATTCCTGACACCTGAAGAAGGCCGAAGCATACAATGGCCGAAATGTTATAATAAATATGGTGACAAAGATGAGGACAATAGTCCGAATAATGTAAATAATGTACATAATACTTCATCTCAGAAATATAGACAGATACTGAAGGTACATATCTGTAGAATAGAAATAGAAGATCCCATTAGATAATGAGAGACATCCACAGGCAGACACTGAAGAACATAAGTTACTTCCTCTAGTGTTATATAAACAGTTGAATGGCCATGTGCCTTATTTTTATATTTGTATCTCGTTGGTTCGATAATAATGTAATTCAGAATTATTATTGCCATTGTCATTGTGGTTATTTTACATGGCACTGTGAATCTGGTGAATATGTGGAACTATCTTAACAAAATAAGACATGGCATCTGCACCAGGTAAAACCCTTGATTTGATTGCTCAACTCAAGCAACAAATGATAGAGCTACAAAGGGAAACTATTGCCCTTTGAATAGACGGAACCCCTAATGCGACACAAACACTCAACACAAAAATAACCCTAGTCCCTGTCCACTCAGCTGTTTATATAACACTGTAGGAGGTAACTTATCTTCTCCCATGTTTGCCTGTGGAAGTCCCACATTATCTAATGAGACCTTTCATTTCTAATCTACAATATGGAGGATGTTGTCAAAATCAAGTAGGTGTAGAAAATTTATCTGTAATATGTATTAATGACAAATGTGGCACAAATGGCTGGGTGATAGGTCAGATCTTTTATAGACATAGTCAACACAACTTAGTATTGAATGTTTGGATTTTGAAGAAAAAAAGGTATTAAGATATAGGAAAAATTTTTTAGAAAAAAAGAAAAGAGTGCTGAACTGCTATGTAATGTCTAATCTCCTATATGGCAGTGAATGCTGGATGGATTCCTCATAGATGAAGAAGTGACAGATATGGTTCTACTAACAAATACTGAAAATAACATGGACAGAACATGTGAGCAATGAAGAAGTTTTAAGAAGAATAGAAACTACAAGGAAACTGTTGCTAACAATCAGAAAACAAACAATTGAGATTTCTAGGATACATGATGAGAAAGAAAGCTATGAGACTAAAATACTCATATGGAATATTGAAGGCAAAAGAAATGGAGAGTAACCTACTTGACAAATTTGAATGAATAAATTGCAGGACAAGGAGTACAAGGAAAAAGTGGGAAGAGTCTTTTATTGCCCAAAGACAAGAAGTCATGGCCGTATTTATTTTATCCTTCCTTCTCGCTTAGTAAGAGAGCAACTTGATTTTGTCTAAAGATGGAATACAGTGGCTTCTCAATTCTTTTGAGGATTTGACAGGTCCAACTAACATCAGTTATCCTTTTATTTTTTTGTATTTGTTTTGATGTTTTAGCTTGTTTTTGAGTTTATTCCCTCCCCCCTCATTACGTATCATCGACAGATTTTTATATATAGAGTTTTATAATCGTTAATTTTTTATGTCATGGGTGTTTTTAGAAGTCCCCTGAGAGTACGTGGTATTGTGATATATGGAGGATTGAATGATGATGGATAAGTTCTTTTGGTGGATGTGCAAATTGTAATGAGTGAATGGGTTGTGAATCTGATTAGCTAGGTATAAGATAGTAAGTGATTATCAGCCTCAACCCCCCATTTTCGGCCTTGTACCACAATTGTATTTTATATACAATAAATCTTGACAAGATGTCATGGAAAACCATGATCACCTACATTCTGATAGGATAAAGTATAAGAAAGAAGAACATTTCTGAAAAACAAAATATGCATGATTGCAGAGAATAAGACTTTCAAGAATTGTGACATTTTAGAATTACTATGGCTTCTTCACATCATTTCTTAAAGAGACTTATTTGGTGGTAGCCATCTTCTCTCCAGGTAATTGACTGGGTTACAATATATTAGCAGGAGGAAGTAAATATCTGATCTGTTCAAGAAGAGGTGGAGTCATGTCTTTCCCAATTAACTAGGTAATTCAATTTTCCATATTTAGACTATAATTTATTATTTCAGGTGAATTCTGCACCACCAACAGCAACGCCACTGTAAAAATAGCCATAGCCGTGGGCTATGACCCTTTGAAATCATACACACAAATGAGAAACATAAGTTTTTCCTTTATTTTTTAAACTATGAATGTTTGCAAACACAGTTTGAACAAAAATCTACATTAAGTCGATTACTTAATGTATTTTTCTTAAAAAAAAAAAAAAAAAAAAAACATCGCTTAAAGGGATACGAGTTCAAATCTCGTCGGTGATGGAAATATTATTCCCGATTCAATTCAGTCCACCCCGTTCTTTAACGGTCGTAAAATATAAAAACGATCTGAACAATGCGATGAAAAAACAATGAAAAGAAAAATAGTAAAAAATTTTAGTCATATAGTCAAAGTCAAATACTTCAAAAAACATTGTTTTTTTTTTTTCGAAAGAATTTAAAAACAGTTTTCGTTGAAATATTTGAAGTTCCTTTGTTTTTTTTTACTAGAGAATATTTCTCTATCGGGACGGGATGTATTTTTATTTTTAAGCGTCAGTTTTTTACATTTTATTTTAAACAAGTCTTTTTTTTTTTTCATCAATTTAAAACTGAATTCTTATTTTTGACCATTTTATTACCAAAAAAAGTACACAGTATAGTACACCTTTTTCCTGTGTGTTAGCAATTGCAAATTGGTTATTTGTTAAAAAAAAAAAAAAGAGTCTATGTGTGAAAAGCTTTAAACAATATGGATTCAAGTAAATAATTTTTATTTGAATTCTTTTTATTTCCATCAATAAATTAAATTTGTAACGTCGATTTTTTTCCAATTACAATAAAAATAGATAATGATGACTGAAGCACTGTATGATAATTCGAGACTATTTTTTTATTTTAGAAATTTTTATTTTTAAATTAATTGACGGGAAAAGGGAAAATATGTTCCCTTCTTGCTCAACAACAGTAACCATTTACAAGGTAATATTAAATTTAGGGAGGAAGATAGACAATGAGAAAAAAAAAAAGAATATTAAACGAAAAAGAAAAGAAAAATAGAGACAAAGTGGATGAAAAATGTGACAGTGGGAGATTGAGTGAAAAGAAGAAAAGACTTGAAGGAATAAAGAAAGGCATTGGGATGAAAACAAAGAAGTTAAAGAAAGTCCAAAGAAGGTAGAAATACAAAAAGAAAAAGAGAGTAAGTTAGAAAGAGATAGTTAAAAAAAGAGAGATAAATAAAAAAAATGGGGAAGAAAAGAGATGAATATCAGAAAAAGAAATTAAAACAATGAAAGGAGAGGAAAACAGAAAGAAATGAAGAGAAGAGAAATATGAGTAGGAATAGGCAAGGAGTGAATGAAAGCGAAATAAAAAAAAAGACTGCGAGAAGAAGGTTGAAAGAGAAATAGAACAAAAAAAAGACAGATGATCGCTTATAAAAGATAAAAGAATAAAATGAAATGTATCATTATCTTTAAGAACAAAAACTCAGAAGCGAAAAATGTAGCATTTGGTGAACATCTGTAAATGAGAGACAGACAAGTAAAAAGATCAGACATTTATTTCATCTAAAAAAGATAAAAAATCTACAGGACACAAAAAGTCAGTACCCCCATTGCTCTAATAAGCTAGCGTTTAGCGAGACATGTTACCTTCTACAAGCTTGTTGTAAACGGATTTTACGAAAAAAATAAAATAAAATAAAACTAATTGTATTGTTTTTTTTTATTTGGCAGGGGGTGGTTTTAAAATTTTGTTCTATGTAAATTTAACAGTATTTTAAAAAAATAATAAATCCATTCAGATTTTGATAAAGTTATTTGTTAATTTCCTTAGAAAAGACTTAAAAAAAAAAACAATAGTAAGGCGTATATTTATTTTAGTTATTTAGTACAAATAAACTTACTTACATTCACACTTCACAGTAAGAAATGTTAGATAATTTAGTATTTATTTACTATGGAGCGATGATTGAACATCGAACTTTTAAATAAAATTAGTTGATGAAGCTCCCGATTGATTTGTGCGTACATTTAAGATTTGGGTCATTAATAAACGAGCACGTTTTATTGACTTGGTTTTTTTGTTTTGTGTCAGTTTGATCTTCACGAGAGAGATGTTTCCTTCTTAAACTGTGATACGATACTTGAAAAATAAAATAAAATAGATTAAAACTCGAATTAGTAAATTACATGTTTTCTAAGTAACTACTTAAAGTTAATTAATTTAGTTTCATACTAAGGGCCTCACAATATTGACTTTTTAAGTTTTTCTGTTGTTAGTGGAATAGAGTGGATCGAACTCGAATCGACGTTAATGTCATTACTTACAATAACAAATACCAGCTAAATTAAAGACTTTTAGTTTAAAAAGAGATTGAAATAGATCTTTTTAGCCTAAAAAAACATGAAAACTAAAAAAAAACATGTCCTAAAATTTTATTTTATTTTTAGGACATGTTTTTTTAGTTTTTAGACACCACATAATCTCTATTCTATTTATATCCGGTTTGAAACACAGCAAAATCCTTTTTTAAGTTTTTACTTATTGGAAATATTAGCTTGAAGAAATTAAAACTAAAAGCTTTAAGAACAATTTTTCATTTTTTAAAAATGCATAGGTATCACTTTTCTAACTTGTTTTCAAACTCCGTCAGTTGCTTAAGGTAGTGTAAAAACCGGAAAATATTTAAAAAAAAAGGCATGGAAAGAAAAAAAAGTCTTCAACTTCGGCTTATGAGTTGGGATGAAGTCATTTCAAAATAAGTAATTGTCATTTAAAATAGGTAATAATTTGGAATTAGTAATGTTTTAATTTATAATTATTTAGCCTTCATAAATTAAAAAGGTTAATTTTGAAGTAATAAATAACCCAAGAAAAATGTTTTTAAAGTGTAAACAAGGAAAAAAATAAGAATTTTTTTTCCACACAAGAAAACAAAATATGGAGAATGTGTAGTAAAAATTTCTAGATTCAAACCCTAATCAGATTATTAACGATATAACCGTTAGTTTCAAATTAATCAAATAAGTTCTTTTTGATACTCCGTGGGCTTAAGTGTACAATAGAGAAACAATAATTTACACTACAGTTAAATGTCCTATTTTTATGATGTAAATAAAAAATCACGTTGTTCATTTCCCTCTCCACATGTGTAGAGGGTATTTATTTAGTTTTTATTCATGGAGAATGCATTGTTTTGGTGATTATGGCATATGTATTTTTAAATGTGGCATTTATGGTGAAAAGATATTAAAAAATATATTGGGCCAGTGAACTGAATGTGACTAGTAAGTGAAATTTAAGAACAGTGATGACCAGCATTTCCCCATTTTTCGGCCTTGTGCCACATTGTTACAATGATGCTAGGTACCCCCACTTACAATTGTAATATGTAATGTCCTAAAAAGGAAAAAAAAACTTGTTGATGTATTTTATTTCACTAAGGAAATTTACGAACAATGATTTTTACAAGGGAGAAGAAATACATTTAGATTCCGGAGACTGCAAAAAAAAATGAGCTTCTTAGTTCAAGCACACTCGAGTCAATATTGACTTGTACCCATAAAAAAAATGACTAAGTTATTTACGTATAAAACAGCACTTGTCTAGAATAATATATATGCACTTTGTAAAAACTGTTTCTCTCTCATAAACACCATAAGCATCAACTGTCTGTTAATTTCCACGTGACAATAGAATTTGGAGAAGAGGAAGAGAGCCAGAAAACTAGAGAAAAAATAAAAGAAATACAGGGAGAAGTTTTATTACTACCATCGATCTTTCAAAGTGGTTGAGCTTTATTTAACAGTTTCTTCTTAAGCTTACGAACATATGTACTAACGTATTTAATATAAGTGAAGCAAACAACAACAAAAAAATAAAATATCGTTTAGTTTACGAGACGAGCCTTTTACCCTACCCAGAACACGGTCTTTATACGCGCTAAAAAGGGGCAGGAGACCATGTCAGTAAGCATTTTTTTTTTCTAATGCCGGTAACGTCACGTGAGATTTTGGGCGCGTTTTAACGCGATACTAGTGTCGCCACCTAGCGGCCAATCACTGTTCATATAAAACAGCGGCCACGTGGTCTCATTGCGACATAGCAGATAATCACTTAACGAGAGGAGTGATCCAGTATAACAATCAGTCGCTCTCTCCCTCAAAAGGCAGCAACAATTTAGTAGGCTTGGCTTTTCTAAAGCTCGCTCTACTTTTTAACGCTCATACAGAAATCTACTTCTCGCCGAACGCTGCTACAATAAAAGCAGTAGTATAACCAGCAATTCCAGTTTAATTTCTGCTTGTGAAAAAAAACTCAAAATGCCGGAACGTTGCAGTGACAACGAGAAATTTTGCAAACTCTTCATCGGAGGTTTGGATTTCGACACTTCAGAGGAATCCATGAAATGTCACTTTGAGCAATGGGGCGAAGTTGTCGATTGCGTTATTATGAAGAATCCGACAACAAACCGCTCAAAAGGATTTGGTTTCGTCACTTTTAAAGAGCCAGATAGTCTTGATTCAGCCCAGTCTAAGCGGCCCCACACGATCGATGGAAAGCAAGTTGACACGAAACGCGCTATGCCCAGGGATGAGGCGCAAGAAAACAAGGTGACCGTCAACAAGATGTTCGTCGGCGGACTCGATGAGAACACGTCCGAAGATCAGGTGAAGGAGACTTTTTCTAGTTTCGGTAACGTTGAAAAGGTGGAGATGATAAAAGACAAGACGACCGGTAAACAGAAGAGATTTTGCTTCGTTACCTTCGACGATCACGATTGTGTGGACAAGTGTGTGATCCAGAAACACTTCCAGTTGTGTGGCAAGAATGTCGAGGTGAAAAAAGCGGTCTCAAAGAACGAACTTAGCCAGGGTATGATGGGTTCTGGTGGCATGAGGGGTGGTAGAGGTGGCAGTAGCAGTGGCCGTGGCATGAGAGGAGCTTATGGTCCTTCCTATAGCGGCGGTAGCTATGGTGCACCCTGGGGAGGATACGGCGGTCCTCCAGGTCCCAGCTACAATGATGGTAGTTATGGCGGTGGCCCCGGGGGTGGTTACGGCTATGATGGTTATGGTGGTGATGGCTATGGCAGTTTTGGCTCCGGGTATGGAAATGGTACCGGGGGTGGCCCCACCCGAGGTCGCGGCGGTTACACACAGCGTGGTACTGGACCATATGGCGGAGGCTACGGAAGCAGTAATTGGTGAGATGAGAAAAAGTGACATCAAAGGACTTTAACATTTTTTTTCTTAAAATTTCTTTCTATTTTTTTTAATTATGTAATAAGACGAAAGAAATTTTTCGAAAAAAATAAACGCCATGAAAGTTAACAGCAAACCACTCCACCAAAGCTACGAGCCACAGGCAGCATTACACACAAATCATCAAAATTGAGTCTTCTATCTGCGAAAGTCTCTTTATCTTCCCTCAGTAAAGAACATATCTAGGCCATTTTGGTGAGTTATTCTCCATCTCTTAATATGTGCTCTTAACCTTTTGAACTATCTTGCATTTTAATTTTCTGAGATTATAAAAATAGTTTTGTAAGTAATAATCTTTTATCTTTAATGTTAAAATATTTACAGTCTCTGTATTACATAGTACTACTTCACAATGTTCATTTTAAGTTTGTAAATTCGTATTTTCTCTTGTATCGAGTTTTTCTAACTTTTCTGCTTTTTTTTCCTCACGAAAGTTTTAAGAGTACAAGATGGCGGCCTGGGTGGGGATAAAGAGACTAATATTTTTCATTTGGGCAGAACATACGAGGAAAAAAATGAATCAACACTTAAAAAAAAATTAAAAGCTGGAGGCGGCAATACAGTCTTTACCGTCTCTTAATCTACTTCCTCAGATTGTTGCATATTTGAGGTTAGAAGGTAAAAAAAAGACGGCAAGCGACTTTGAAAAAAAATCAATATAAAACAATGTCTTACGACAAAAAACGTTTTTCCCTCTTGCTATGAAGACTTAAAAAAAAAAAATCATCCAACTTCAAGACGGACTTGATTCTCTTTTTGGGACTGCCTTCATCTTGGAAAGGAATTTTAAGAAAAAAAAGAAAAAGAAAAAAGTGATCAAGGTGATATTGATTCTTTTTTATTTTTTAATTTTTTCTTTTACAAATGTTCGTGTTTTATTTTACTTTGGACTTTTCATTTTTCTTCCCATCCCCGTCAAAGAAAATACTTAAAAAAAAACAAAAAAAAAAAAACAAAACAAAAAATCCAAACCAGCAAAAAAATCTTCCCTCCAGATCTTTACATATGAAATGCTCCATCTCTTCATTTTAAGTAGTTTAATTTGTTTAGCTTTTTTTTGTATATTTTAGTGCAGCTTGTTTTGAGTTTTGATCATCCAGGTTTCTGTGGATATGTCTACATCTTTCATGTACCAAAATACAGTTCAAAGAAACATTTACCACTTTGCAACAAACTCATAAAAAAGATCATTTCTTCCTCTTCATGAAATCATAGACTGGGTTTTTATTAAAAAGCCATCAGAACTACAATGAAGAAAAAAAAACAAACCTAAAGTTGTGAATCCAGGTTCGCCCTTAAGTGTGAGTGATGATAATAAAAATTAAAAATATATTGTAAATATAATTCTGATTTTGTTATAACTTTTTGTCTTGTGTTCATTACTTAACTATATTTGTTCACGTCTCTATATCCAAATATTTTTATACTTGCATAATAAAGCTAAATTCTGACTTTCCTTTTTTTTTTTTCTAATTTGTCTATAAATATTCCCTGATTTATTTCGGTATCTTTCACAAATGCTTGTATTTTAGCCATTGCTATAATTTGCAAATTTAATTATGGCATGGATGGATATAGAATCTGTGACTATTGTATAACTTATTTTTTTCCTATTAAGCAAGTTAAATAAAAACTTGCTTTATTAAAGAAAAATAAACGAGTAAATAGTATATACTAAAATAAAGTCAGCTGATAAAGAAATCAACAGATCTTACTTCAATCAACTTAAGATTAAGATTCCTTACTTACTTTTAATGGAGAAATGTAAGTATAAAATTTTACTTAATGCTTCACTTTTTTTTTTCTTTAAAAATTCACGTAATTTTTTTTTCCTACATTAATAAAATAATCGAAAAATATGAAAATGCAGAAATTTAAAATTCGGACTGTATTTAAATGTAACTTATTTTAATTTTTCTTCCAAATCTTCTAATCCTTGGTCTTTAAAATCCTTCAATTTTAATTTGGCCTTCGTTTTACGGAATAAGTCTGAAAAATTTGAAGCTTTTGTCTTTCGTGCGAATTCGTGTTGAAAACTGGTGTAAACCGGTTTTTATTTGAATTAAGAATCTGAAAACGAGGCTTATGACCTAAATTAATCACTGTCTTTTTTTCTACTAAAGTCTTTTGCCGATCTCTCATATAGTCACTAAGACTTAACCTTTATGTATTCAAACTTAAGCTTGCTATTTCAAATCATTTTTAATTCTCTTAAAAAAAAATAATTTTAAGTGATACCGGCTGGTTGAATTGGGTCATATGGGGGTCACACATAGTCACCCACGTGGTCCTCTCATGGCTGCCACTGTCCCAACAAGAGTTTAAATTGATTATTTTTTATTAATAGCCTGAGAAATTTTACACTTTCTAATTGTTTTTGACTTGACAGCTTCCTTTTAAAGCTTATAGCAACAACCATAGCATGTCAGATTATACAATGATTTTGTTGTTTGTCGAACAAATG